CCCGGACACCTGTTGCTATCATCTTCTGTTTCTTGGGCTTGCTGACAGATGGCGTTACTGTCTCAATGTCAATGAGTGTGTTACTCTCAGACTTCCGCTTCTTGCTCCTGGTTATCACGAGATCGCGAAATCATAATCAGATTTAGCTCGAGTGCATACCCAACAGTACTCTCATGAATGAATGAACACTTCAAGGTAAATCGAAATTACATTTAATTAAATTAACTTAATTAAATTAACCTAATCGGTGTATAATTTTTCAAGGTAAAGTCGAAATTACATTAAATTAAATTAATTAAATTAAATTAACCTAATCGGTGTATAATTTTCCAAGGTAAATCGAAATTACATTTAATTTAATTAATTAAATTAAATTAACTTAATCGGTGTATAATTTCCCACAAGAGGGTACCCTAACCCTAACCCTAAAAAAAAAAATTAAATTAAATTAACTTAATCGGTGTATAATTTCCCACAAGAGGGTGCTGATATTTCTGACACACGGACTCGCAAACCGTCCTCGATACTGAACCTATACAATTCTCCCTACATCACTATCACTATTACTCTACAACACACATCTACTATTACACTATCAATGCAAACATCACTCCTCCCGCACAGTTCACTCACCCTCGTGGCGTCCCCACGGGCTTCGCTTCTGGCGACTTCGGAGGCTGCGTTGCCGTGACGACGGTCGTTGCCGTGGCGACGGATGCGGCGGCGACAGTGACGGTTGGCTTGGGTTTCGGCGGAGGGCTTGTAACGGCTGGAGAGGTCGTTTCCTCCGGTACCTGAGACAGAAAACGCTCTCGTCACGCGCAGCGAGACACAACGACGCTCACAGGACGCGTGAAAGCGCCAACTAGTGGCCCCTCCGAACATCACGCCCGGTTACAAGTGACGATGACATCACGTGTCTCGCTATATGGGAACTGCCCCTGGATCGCGAACACGATCACGGAGAAATCTGCATGCTCGGTTTGTGAATAGTAAAATAAACGGACAGAGGTATTGGTTCCTGACTGCGACTTCACATGACCTAATCACGACCTCACGTGACCTAACCACGACCTCACGTGACCTAATCACGACCTCACGTGACCTAACCACGACCTCACATGACCTAATCACGACCTCACGTGACCTAACCACGACCTCACGTGACCTAATCACGACCTCACGTGACCTAACCACGACCTCACGTGACCTAATCACGACCTCACGTGACCTAATCACGACCTCACGTGACCTAACCACGACCTCACGTGACCTAATCACGACCTCACGTGACCTAACCACGACCTCACGTGACCTAACCACGACCTAACGTGACCTAATCACGACCTCACGTGACCTAATATGAACGTTTATTCCTTACGGACTGTCCAGTATAGAAGTAGAAGTAGAAGCTACTGAGTGTCCCACCGATGACGATGATGGTTCATGCTTGCATGTTAGAGCATAAATGTTGATGTGATTGAGACAATTAACGAACCACCCAATTAACTTACAGAAATGTTTTAAGACTAGCAGACAATTCATTGTTGGTTATTAGTGTTGTGATAATACTTTTCAGCAACTGGACACAAGCATGACAATATACTATATTATATAAGTATATACTTTTTTAAGGTCAAGAAATCTTACATTGTTTATTATGGTGCATTTCAATTACTTAAAACCGCCGTACCTTGTGCCTTGTGTCATCTTTCTAGTGTTCATGAGCTGTGGTCTAGTTCCTTGCAAAGCATAACTCTTATTACTTGTGTACTTTGACTGATTTTTATACATGGCTACTGTAGGTTGGTTCTTTGCCACTCGATTATATTGTGACCTGAAAACAAAATAAAACGTACCCGAAATCACATAACCATACTCATAAGTCAACAAGAGTAATAATGCGCTAAAACTTAATAAATTACACAATTAATTTACACTATATATATCTATGAATGGGGTAAACACTATTCTGTAATTGTTATTATTACCTGAAGTTGAACTTGTTATTTACGTTTTGCTGGCGTAGCCGGGTAGATTGCATGCCATACGCTCCAGTTCCACTTCCAGTCACGGATCCACTTCTGAATCTTTGACCCTTTGGCTTTGCTTGCCTCTTTTGTTTCATTTTAATAATATCGTCTAATCCCATATCAATCTTCTCCATGATTAAATACGGTAAATATGACAAAACTTTGCAAATTTTATGAACAAGATCGCGTACTACAGCGCTACAAACACAAAACTGTGGCTACAACCACAGCTACTACTCTACAACGCTAGAGGGCGCTATATGCGGTAATAAAATACCATTCGGCTAAAATCACTAGGCCCCTAGCCGCCAAGGTAGATACATTAATATCTTAGATAAAATCCTCATAAATCACCGATGATTATCATCATCAGACGTTCATGTACAGCAATAAGCTGGAGATGAGACAGAACACTGCTGCACTGTCCGGAATCGTCGCAGCAACGGCCATCAGTGCGACAAAGTTCACGCAGGTCATACAGTAGTCCGCAAATGCAGACGTTATACGCAGACGTTATACGCTTTGCTAATCTGAGGGTGCGGGTTTATCGGCTTAACGAAACAATATACTGACTACTGTACAAGATACAACGACAAGGTACTAATTAGGTAGGGATAGTAGGTCATTTTTTTAGAAATGACCCCAATGGATTTTTTAAACATATTGTTATTCGATCGAATCGATGGCCCAGTCACAAGAAACAGAGATCCGTTTATAGAATTAAAAATTCGTTGTGGCTGGTCACCGCACCCGGCAGCCGGTCACGGTCTTCGATTTCCTAAATGCTCGGCAGTTCCTAACCCTAACCCTAACCGTAACTCTTACCCTAACCCTAATCCTAATTCCCTAATCCTGACCCTAACCCTAATCCTAATTCCCTAATCCTAAC